CTTGGCTGCTTGCTGGCCTGCTTGGCTGCTTGGCTGCTTGCTGGCCTGCTTGGCTGCTTGGCTGCTTGCTGGCCTGCTTGGCTGCTTGGCTGCTTGCTGGCCTGCTTGCCTGCTTGGCTGCTTGGCTGCTTGCTGGCCTGCTTGCCTGCTTGCCTGCTTGCTGGCCTGCTTGCCTGCTTGCCTGCTTGCTGGCCTGCTTGCCTGCTGGCCTGCTTGCTGGCCTGCTTGCCTGCTGGCCTGCTTGCCTGCTGGCCTGCTTGCTGGCCTGCTTGCCTGCTTGCCGGCCTGCTTGCCGGCCTGCTTGCCGGCCTGCTTGCCGGCCTGCTTGCTGGCCTGCTTGCTGGCCTGCTTGCTGGCCTGCTTGCTGGCCTGCTTGCTGGCCTGCTTGCTGGCCTGCTTGCTGGCCTGCTTGCTGGCCTGCTTGCTGGCCTGCTTGCTGGCCTGCTGCTGCTTGCTGGCCTGCTGCTGCTGCTGCTGCCTGGCCTGCTGCTGCTGCTGCTGCCTGGCCTGCTGCTGCTGCTGCTGCTGCCTGGCCTGCCTGGCCTGCTGCTGCTGCTGCTTGGCCTGCTGCTTGGCCTGCTTGGCCTGCTGCTTGGCCTGCTTGGCCTGCTGCTTGGCCTGCTTGGCCTGCTGCTTGGCCTGCTTGGCCTCCTGCTTGGCCTGCTTGGCCTGCTTGGCCTGCTTGGCCTGCTTGGCCTGCTTGGCCTGCTTGGCCTGCTTGGCCTGCTGCTGCTGCTGCTGCCGCCTGCTGCTGCCGCCTGCTGCTGCTGCCGCCTGCTGCTGCTGCTGCTGCCGCTGCTGCTGCTGCTGCCTGCTGCTGCTGCCTGCTGCTTGCGCCTGCTGCTGCTGCCTGCTGCTGCTGCCTGCTGCTGCTGCCTGCTGCTGCTGTCTGCTGTCTGCTGCTGCTGCCTGCTGCCTGCCGCCTGCTGCCTGCTGCCTGCTGCCTGCTGCTGCTGCCTGAACGCCGGCCGCCTGGACTGCCTGCCGCCTGCTGCCGCTGCCTGCTGCATGAAGCCTGCGCTGCTGCCTGCCGCTGCTGCTGCTGCCTGCTGCTGCTGTCTGCTGTCTGCTGCTGCTGCCTGCTGCCTGCCGCCTGCTGCCTGCTGCCTGCTGCCTGCTGCCTGCAGCCGCCTGCAGCCGCCTGCTGCCTGCAGCCGCCTGCAGCCGCCTGCAGCCGCCTGCAGCCGCCTGCTGCCTGCAGCCGCCTGCAGCCGCCTGCTGCCTGCAGCCGCCTGCAGCCGCCTGCTGCCTGCAGCCGCCTGCTGCTGCTGCTGCGGCTGCTGCTGCTGCTGCAGCTGCTGCTGCTGCTGCTGACCCCTCAAAAAGCGGCTGCTTTGCCCACAAAGACACGGCCCTGCCGGACGGGGATGCACCATGGCCCTGAAGGTTGTGTAAGGTTGTGTAAGGTTGTGTTGTTGTTGTTGTTGTTGTTGTTGTTGTGGTTGTTGTGGTTGTGGTTGTTGTTGTTGTGGTTGTTGTTGTTGTTGTTGTTGTTGTTGGTGTTGTTGGTGTTGTTGTTGTTGGTGTTGTTGTTGTTGTTGTTGTTGTTGGTGTTGTTGGTGTTGGTGTTGGTGTTGGTGTTGTTGTTCACAACCTCTCTGCCCTGACGCGCTCCCCCTTGCGTCTGCCGGGGTCGGCAGATATTGGCTGCTGGCTACTGGCTGCTGCTGGGTGCTGCTGTCTTCTTCCCTAACGCGCTCCCCCTTGCGCAGCCGGGGTCGGCGGATATATATATATATATAACATATACATTATATTTACTGTATATCAAATCACACCAAAGGTGAGACCAAAAACAGATCCAAATAAGGGGATCATATTACCCGCCAGAGAGAGTGCCATATATATATAATATCTGTCATAGTTTACATCTGAATTGTTTCCCATGAGTCCGTTTGCCTGGATTTTGCCCGGCACAGACCACAATGGCGCAGGATATCCAGGCTGCCCTGGCCGCTTCTTCCTCTCTGGGTGCTGGTGGCGAAGAAGAAGCAGAGGATGAACTGAAGGCTTCGGGTATAAAGTCATTTTCTTCCATACTTTCTCTCCTACCTTTTTTTCCCGCCTATTTTCCTACACGATTCTTTCCAATTTTGTCCATATTTTCTTCCCCTATTTTTCTTCCTACTGCTTCCCCTATTTTCTTCCCCGAGTATCTTCTCGTTTGTTTGATTGGTTTCCTGCACTGGGTGCGATGATGTGTGATGTGCCATGGTCACCCACCAGGATGCGGTAAACATATATTGCATGGGATTAACGGTATACAAACATATGTACATATATCCATATATTTATATGCACATATTTGTGTAGATATAGATACAGATATGGATATATCTGAGTGATGCGGCGGGCATCCTTACAAATTGAGGGGATGAACAAACATCCCTGAAGATGCGTACTTGACGTCCAGTTTGGATCATTACACATATTCCCCAGCTGGGCAACTGCCTTGACTTGCTAATGGTGCAGGCTCTCTATGCACAGCAAGCGCAAAAGGAAGCAGAAGAGGCACGGGTTTGATGAGACAAATGTCAGAAATGGCATTAAGCACTTGCCTGACAGTTGTTTCGGATTTCTGGGTAGTGTCTTACAAACACGATACTAGAGTTACTATACTACAACTATAACTGATTCTAATCATGACTATACTATGCTAGACGATCCTTTGTTCCCTATTTCTGTACTTCAGGGTCTAGAAGAACTCTGGCAGCGCAGGCCATGGCAATTCTCGCTGGTGGTGGGGGTGTGCCAGCCCCTGTGGCCCCCACTCCTGCTGCACCGGCTGCAGCCAAAGCAGCTCCAGTGGCCTCATGAGTTCAGGCCCTGAGGCCGCCAAGCTCTCATCCTCTTGGATTCGATGCAACCCTTCAACCGTTTAACCCTGTGCCCAGCTGCACAGAAGTTGTTTTGCCATGAGAGTTGCCATTTACAAATGATGAAGGTCTTTGATGATGGCATCTGCAAGTCTCACCCAGTAGCTTCAGCCAAACAGTACACGGATATACACGTACAAGGATCAGTATGAACCACTATTCGACTTGAGGAGAAGCCAGTGCACCTCAAATGCTGGCTGTTTTGATTCCCAAATTAAAAGATTTAGTTGGTGGGGGTATGTATCACACGTTGGATGAGAACTGCCATGAAGCAAAGTGATGTTGGCGGATAAGCTGGTTTGGCTGGAACGCTGAGCTTTAGCAGCGACTTCATCTCCTGGACAGCAGATGAAGCAGTGGAGATGGCAGTGAAGATTTAAAAGATTTGCTGAGTGGTCACTAAAACAGATGGACACGGGTTTTCCTTCCAGTTTTGTGGGATTGTTCTATATGGGGACCACTATGTCACTGTTTGGTACGTCGTTGTGTGCTGCTTTGCATGGCAAGACACTGAAGAAAAGCATCGGCTTGATGGCCTGTCAGGAGAAAGGTTTCGAACAGATCAATTTCTTGGGAGCTACTCTTGAACGAATTGAGGCACGTGTGGAGCACGTGTGGAGCACTTGGGATGGCCTCAAATGACCGAGAATAGTCAACGAGGGACCCGAGGGAGTTGTAAAGACTGCATGTCGGGCATGTCAGGGCATGTCGCGGCATGTCGCTTGATCATTTGGGTCTTTTGGGTCTTCACCTGGGATTGAACTTGTGGGCAGGACCGGTGGACCCCTTCCGTCTTTGTGGACCGGTGTTTCAGCGATAGGATAGGCGGAACATCAACAGCTGTTCCCGGTAGACGTTTAGTCCAAGACTCACATGCAGAAAAAAGAGGATTGGTGAGAGTGTGGCATGCCAAGCTAAAAGTCCATCATCATTTGGCTTACTATTGAAAGCCATCAAAGCATTTTCTTTGAAGAAGATCTGCATCCAGCGGTTTTCTTTTGCAATTCGTGTGGTTTGAGTTTGAGGCCTGGAAGCTACACGCAGCAGCTGATTGCCAGAGTGCAAGAGGCAACTTCCTGCACTTCGCATGGCATTTTCGTTACGCATTCTCTTGAAACATAGACGATAGATTCTTGCAACATGTGAAAAGTTTGATGGAATGGTACTGTACCATTGGTTCACCAGACACAGACACAGACACACCGGTTTGCAGGCCGGCTTGCAAACCTATGAAGTACGCACAGCCCAAGCCGTAGATCAGTATCATCAGTATCAGTTGGATTTAGATCCGAAAACTCATCACCTACATGACAACTGCCCAAGCAACTGAGGTTGATGCGTTGAATTCCCTCGCTTCCCAATTGGCTGAGCTGACTGCCAATGGAGTGTGTTTCTCAGATTCTTGGCACTCCAAAATGAGGGAAATCCACAGATGGTGTGACTGGTGAAGATGCAGGGGAATGCTGAGGCTAATGCCCCAAGCCGAGTGGGCTTGATTATCTCATGTGGCAGCTGGAATCTCAGAGACGACCTTGAAAGGTGCTGTAGAGATCTGACATGGCCAGATGGCCCCTGTGGTTCCTTGCTTCTTTTCACTCAGATCCAGTGGGTCCAATGTCACACTGTAGGCCCAGTTGAACTTACCGAACCGGTAGACCTGCGCGCGCAAGTGTGCAAAACGCCAGGGCCCGAAGCCGTTCCCGAAGCTGTTTCAAGATCCAAGCCATGTGAATGGATTTGTCCTTTCGTTTTTCATTGTCTCCCCATTAAACATTTGTTGAAAAACATATAGAAAAATCCCTTTTGGACCCCTGGATGTCACGATGAACAAAGATCCGTCAGATGAACTGGTAGGACTGCTGCCATGCTGCTATTCCCAGATGCGCGGGGACTCCTGGGTTTGGAGGGGTTGGAGGGGTTGGAGGGGTTGGAGGGGTTGGAGGGGTTGGACCATTGGAGGGGTTGGAGGGGTTGGAGGGGTTGGAGGGACACAAGACCAGTGAATGATATTTGATCACTAATGATGATGCTAACTGGTAGATACAGTGGATGCCAAAGGCCAGTGGTTGGCATTTGCTACGGCATGCAGCTGCTTGCGCTCCTTTACGGCGGATCGTTGAAGGAGTCCCCACCTTAGAACTTTCGATAGTCACTTCCTGAGCCGGTCCTGGGTTGCTACTTGATTCCACCACATCTTCAATGCAAATGAGGCAACGAGACACCGCCCACAAGGGAGTGCCGCTCAACAGCAGTTTGAAGGAAACACCACACTTTGACCACGACAATTGACAACTGGAAGACATCAAGAAGGTACTTGCTGCCATTGCAAACACGTTTCTGCTGGGCTATTCCTTTGGATCAGGTGGGCAGAAATGAGGAAAACAGCGGGAGTGACATCTCGCTTGCCTGCCTGGCTCACCTTATCCTTGGCTTCGCGTGTCAAAACTTGTGTAAGTGAAAGTGTTCAGTGCTTGATCCTGCAGCCTTTGGCACAAGACTTGCGTTTCCAAGCTTGGTACATCTCAATGATCAGTTGAATAGAGTAGGGTTCAAAAGAGCTATTGGGGCGTCGTGGGGCTGGACAATCATGGAGGCTGTTGTCATAGCTGTCGCACGTTGTTATCTACAACGAGTCTGGTGTGAGTCACTACAGCAAACCAATGACAGGGTGCCATTTGTTTTTTTGGGGTCCCTGGAAATTGATAGGTGCTATGTTACCATAGAAAGCTCATGCTGATGGAGGGAATCGTGGTCAAACCCTGATGAGGGGGTGATAAGCTAACCCAGCAAGACATTGTGCACTCAAAGGGAGGAACAAGGAATGAACATGCTTATACTAGCTATAGTGCAAGGAACATGGGGAAAGGTTGGATATCCTGAAACTGTTGCTGCTGAAGACAAAGTCTTTTACTCGTGAGGCCAGATCCCAAAAACGCATTTATTGAGAGTGGGGCGCATTCCAGACATGAAGGTGCATCCTGGGATCTGGTGGAAAGGAAGCGGAATATAGTGGAGAATTAGTACCGGTGAAGCATTTTGTACGTTGAATACAGAGTAGCAAATGTTG